TTTCAAAAACTGAGCTTGTAATATTTCCTCCTCCCCAATCCCCCACTCACAACTTTACCATTAAGATCAACAGCACAACCATTGGTCCTTCCCCTCATGCCAGGGTGCTATGCGTAATCCTAGACTCTGACCACTCCTTTGGGCCCCACATCCACTCACTGGCTAAATCCTGCCATCTCAACCTTCCGGAACATCTCCAAAATCCACCCATTTCTGACCAATGACACTATAAAACAACTTATCCACGCCTTGGTTATATCCCACCTTGATTACTGCAACTCCCTCCTCACTGGTCTACCATTACACAGGCTATCCCCCCTTCAGTCTATTATAAATGCTGCTGCTAGACTCATACACCTTACCAACCAATCAGCGACTGCTGCCCTTCTCTGCCAATCCCTTCCACTAACCCAACGTATAAAATTCAAAATACTAACCACAGCTTACAAAGCCATCCACAACACTGCCCCTAGCTACATCGCCAACCTCATCCACAGATACTGCCCAAATCACTCACTCCGCTCCTCCCAAGATATCTTCCTCTCTAGTTCCCCCTCATCACCTCCTCCCACGCTCACCTCCAGGACTTCTTCAGAGCCTCTCCTATCCTCTGGAACTCCCTACCACAGCATGTCCGGTCAGCCCCGACCCTGTCTGCCTTTAGACGATCTTTGAAAACTCACTACTTCAGGCAAGCCTACCCCACCTCCACCTAAGAACTGTACTTGAATCACCTCCACCGGATCATCCCCCGCAGCTATCACCTTTTGTATCACCTCCCCCTTCCTTTAGATTGTAAGCTCCAAGAGCAGGGCCCTCACATTCCTTCTGTACTGAAATGTATTGTAATTGTACTGTCTCCCTTATATTGTAAAGTGCTGCGCAAACTGTCGGCGCTATATAAATCCTGTATTATAATAATAATCAAATGCATTCATCACATTTTACTAAGCTTCTAGAAATGTTTTTAATCACATAATACGAGTGTACTTTGTACTGGGGCGATCCTCTGGCAGTTCTGACATACAAAGACATCAATGTTGCCTTGAAAAAATTCCAATACTAAATAGTCCTGCTCAAGGCAAGAGCAAAACAGTGACTGGTCATCACTACTGGCAATCAGTGACCTAAAAGCCACAGCTGGACATATATGAGGATACAGTACACGGAATAGGTTTCAGGAAAAGGAAAACTGCAAATAGATTGTTTTAAGGTAAAGAGGTAGTTTGCCATTTGGAGTATATCTGTGCTGACTGAAGTCCAGCCTTATTAATCCTTATAGCACTAATACACTACCTGGATAGAGTGAGTCCTAGATGGTGCCTCTATGCAGCATAACCACTTATTCCTCCCTATTTTTCCTAGTGCACATATCAAAAAATACATAGGACTGACTTCTGACATTAACTTTTGCTATTAAAGTATTGGTGTGATTAGTTGGAATAATAATAATGAATCAAACAAAAATCAGCGAGCGCTCAGGACAAAAAAAATCGCTCAAGCTGCAAATGCACCGACAAACGGAAACGTTAAAGCCTTACAAGTAATTTAGAAAAAATAGTGCAGTGATAATAAATTAAATATATAAAAAGAATGTATAATCAAAAATAATGCAAATCAATTCATCAAAATAAAACAAATTAAATAGTGGTATATCATAAGTGAATAAAGCGCTATGTTAGGCGCCAAAAATAAACATGATATTGTGTACAGTCTTTATAACAAAAAAAGAGTGTTCATAAATTAGTGAAGGCTTGACACGATCAGGTCAGCATATAGTGCTCCATAAAGTCCTAATGCACTTGTGACATCCAAAAAATCTGTGTGATTTAATCCGTGCGGAAGACTGTAAGAAATGTGCACTCACCAGATGCGCATAATTAATGAGTAATATGCTGGATAAGAATCTGTAGGAAACCCCCTTTGAATGGATCTGCCAGACCGCATGGAACCAGGATCCCTCCTCTGAACACAAGCCTCCTCTGCAGCCACGCTTCCACTGGGGTTCTGAGGATTCTTAGCTCAACTCAGAGCTAGTCAAACAGGGCTGTCAGGAAGGTCTAGTCTCCTACCAGCATACTTGCTATTAGCCGTCCTGTTTTTGTATGAACCTGTAATCTTGGAAAGGCTCTACCATATTGTATCACACTTCTCCTGGCTTGAGGCCTGTCCACTTATATATTCCTGGCCTGGGGCCTGTTACCTGTCATGCCGATCCTCTGCCCTCAATATCTTCCAGAAAAGGGATGTTTTATTCAATCCAGTTGACTGTTGTTCTTGAACTGATGGTTGCTGTAGATGAGAAGTCTGTGTGCACCTGGATGCAGGCTGAATTGTGACACAGGGCAGCAGGCACAGCGGGCTGGTAGACAGTCAGCAGGCACTTGGCAGGCTGGCAGGTCACAGGCAGGAGGCACTTGGCAGGCCACAGGCAGCAGGCACTTGGCAGGCTGGCAGGTTACGAACAGCAGGTGCTTGACAGGTTGCAGAAGTAAGGATGGCCACCACAGGCTGGACATAGAGCAGGGAAAGGCAAGTTGGGTCAGACACTAGCAGGCACGTCAGGAACAGAGCAGCGGGCAGAAGAGTAGTCAGGTTCAAGCTGGAATTGGCAACGGTAAGCAAACAGACAGAAGGATCAGGCAGAGTTGTAGTCAAAGAGCAAGCCAGGGGTCAGTTCAGGCAGAGTTCAAGCATGGGCAGACAGATAAGGATGGCGACAGGAGATCAGGAACATGTAGCAAGTAGCAGAACGCTGTAAACCGTAAGGCAAGCTCCCAGTGCAGCAAAGATGTTTAAAAAACCCACAAGGCACCAATCTAGTGGTGGGTGTGAGCACAGGTTCAGCTAACAGGAATTCACTGTCTGCACATAATTATGTGCATGGGTGCAGTTTGCCTTTCCTGACACTGGCTAACAGGAATTCACTTCTGCGTATAATTATGCGCCTGGGCACATTTTTTCCTTCCCTGACAATGTGTATCATACTGACCTCTGCTGATGTACAGTATTTAAATATTGAGAAATTAGCTATGCCTCAAGCTGCTGAAGGCAACAGAGATTTCTGTTTTGTTATTTGAAAAATAGCGATATAGTATATATTTTCTTTATGCATTATGATCAGAATTAAAAAATAAAATACTAAAAAATGTGTTTTTTTTTTTTTTAATAAGGTAAATATATAATATTGCATTTGGATACTTTTCATCTCTGGCCAGCAGACAGAGCTAATTTCTTATTTCCTTGTTTTCTATTTTTCCTTTTCTCCTGCTGAAAAAAGCCTGTAGATTATAAAATTTAATAGCACAAACTGAAATTTAGTAGCGGAGTAGTGAGCAAAGGCACATGATGCAGTAAATTCCACTTTGCAAGAGCATCATTTATCTGCTCCATAGGTAGCTTTATACTGTCAATTCATATTTCACATCCAGAGACAATTAGGACACACAAATGACTTCTACATCCTTTTCAAAGCACTAAAGGCTCTCAGTGGAATAGATCTGATGATAGAAGAAATGGTAAGCATACATTGTATCAGTCATTATTGTGAGCAAGCTAATGGATTGAAGTTGCACAACTAAATACATTCCAGTCAAATTTTTTAAAGAAAGTTCACTTTGGAGCCTCATTACTAAATGGAATTGAACATTGACCAACACAGAGGAAGAACTGGTCCTGTTTGCAGTACAGCCATAAAATAAAGGTTCCGGTTGCTAATGGGAACAGGGAAAATTTATCAGTCAGACACAAACATTGTTAGTTGTTTAGGATTTCATCATCCATCTCTACATTATTTATTCATAAAATATAATTTGCAGGAAAAAGCACATCACTATAAAACAAATAAATATTTAATCAGTAAAACAAACTGGCATTTACAGTCTATATCCAAAACATACTGGAGATATAAATTGCATCTAAACTTTGCATGCTTGTAGAACTATGGTAAGGACATTAGACTGAAAGCAATTGTGGAGTACAAACCAATATCAATAATTCTATGCGCATTCAAATCCAAAAGCACAGCGAAAAAAATACAAAAATATATATTTAAGAAATGTTTTGCCCAGCAAATTCACAAATTGTTTCTACAAAATGCATTTAGTATACCAAGGTGCTTACAACCTGGCTAATTAGTTGAACAAAGGTGAGTTGTTTATTCTAACATCAGTCTGCGGGTGCTATGGTTGCCAGCAGCAAGGCTTTCCTAGTAACCAGAAAAACCTAAAGAAACAATGAGCAGGCCAGACCTAGGCCAGTACCATAAAGATGTTCTGAAGCTGCATAGAGCTTAAAAAAACACATAAAATAGGAATATGAATAGTTCTAGGGATACCATAGGAAAAATGTGGATTATGGTAGAGAATAATCATTACTAATCATTACCTTATATTTATTTAATTTGATGGAAAAGATGCTGCCATTTTGTGAATATTTTTTAACAACATTTTCCATCCAGTGCCAATAGCACTTTTGGTAAATCAAATCTGAATTCCAGCATTGACACCTGTCAAAATGTCAACATTATTATACTTATTGAGAATCTCAAATATGGTTTCAGTCTCTGACAGTCAGTAGTCACTGATAGCTGTAGGAACAATTAATTAGTCTCTGAAAGTCTCTCAGAGAGTACTGGATATCTCTGACAGCCTCTGGTCAATTGTTTCCGATAGTTTATTGAAATATGCCAGCAGTATCTGATAGTTTACGGGAAATGTCTGTGGTCTCTAGCAGCTTCTTAGAGCATGTTGGCTATTTCAAACAGCTTCTTATGTCACCTGTTTCTCAGGAAGTGAGAGGAGAGAAGAGCTGCAAAGGGGCACATTGCTGTATCGAATGAGGGCTCAAGTAAGTTTTGGGAGGTGTGGGGAAGACTGGTGCCTAAACATTTTTACCTTCATGCAAGAAATGCAAGGTAAAAAATGTTTGGCCTTTATAACCACTTCAATGAAAGCATATTCAGTATATTTTTGTCATACATGTGCCATGTTTTTTCCACTTGCCAACCACGCTATAGCTGAATGACGGCTACAGCGTGGTTGTCCAGTTCTGGGAGGGCGTCATATGATGTCCTCCTAGAACACGCCCTCCTGCGCGCCCCCGGAGGCCAATCACAGCGGCCTTTTTCCACGTGATCAGCTGTGAAAGTACTGCTGATAACTGGCAATTCTCAGAGGACGGATCAGCACCGATCATCAGGGCACTGATGATCAGTGCCGAGAAGTGCCACCCGCCAGTGCCACCCATCTGTGCCCAGCAGTGCCACCCACAAGTGCCCCTCAGTGCCACCCACATGTGCCCAGCAGTGCCACCCACCTGTGTCCATCAGTGCCTAGTAGTGCCACCCACCTGTGGCCCAGCAGTGCCACCCACCAGTTACCAGCAGTGCCCCCCATCAGTGCTGGACAGCAGTGCCACCCATCAGTGCCCAGCAGTGTCGCCAGTCAGTGCCCAGCAGTGCCGCCAGTCAGTGCTGTCAGTCAGTGCCACCCATCAGTGCCGCCTATCAGTACCCATCATTGTTGCATATCAGTGCAGCATCATCAGTGCCAGCTCATCAGTACCACCTATCAGTGCCCAACAGTGCTGCCTATCCATGCCACCTCATCAGTGCCACCTATCAGTGCCCATCAGTGCTGCCTATCAGTGCAGCCTCATCATCGCACATCAGTTAAGGAGAAAAATTACCTGTTTGCAAAAGTTTATAATAGAAACAAAGAAAAACTTTTTTTTGTTTACAGCACAAAAAATAAAACACCCAGCAGCAGTTAAATACCAACAAAAGAAAGCTCTTTTTGTGTGAAAAAAATGATAAAAAAATTTCAAATGGGTACAGTATTGCATGACTGCGCAATTGTCATTCAAAATGCGACAGCGCTGAAAGCTAAAAATTGGCCTGGGCAGGAAGGGGATGTGAGTGCCCAGTAGGCAAGTGGTTAAAGCACAAGTGGACTTCCAGCTTACGTGGAAGCAGTGGTCTCTATACAGAGGTCTCATATGCCCCCACAGAGTCAGACCTATAGATCTGCGGTCAGCATAGCTGATTAAAGAGAGTTAGGCTCTGATTCAGGAGGGGGCATGTCAGACTTCTACAAAGGGCTGCCTCCACACAGAGATCAGGGGTCCTTCTCTGCAATATGCTGGCAGGGAATAGTCATAACTGTTCAGGCTATGGCTGCTTTCTAAAGGAAAACGGAACACTTTGCACATGTAATGTACAGGATTTAGCTGATTTAAACTGTAAGTTCAATTGGGCTTTAAAAAGGCTGTAGGTACAGAACCATAGCTGTTGATTCTGCCAGAAATCCAAAACGCTCCTAACTTCCTGTATAAGCTAACAATTCAGTCCATGCTGCAGTCTCCACTGATGGAAATCTCCATCTATGCATTTATTTATGAAAATTCCAATTTGAATTGCTCAGGTCTGTGAGAGGTTTAGTTTAATAATCCCATTTTATGACACATATACCCCTTTATATCCCAAACTTTACTGTAGCTTATTGTAAGAAGCTTTTCTTTGGGCTGCTTAGAAATTTTTCTTGGATGACGTTTGAAACTTTCATTGCCTTGGGCCTTCTCCTCCCATATCTCACCCATTCTACCATCTAGCCAATGGCAAGACACTATCATTAGCAAACAAGCCAAGAAAGTACATTCCAAGTCTTGTACAGAGAGGAAAAAGGTATGAAAATTCTGATTGCTTCTATTTTATTAGCTATATACAGCAAATGTTGATTTATTATTATTTTTCTATAGTAGATCAATAATCTTACAGTTGTATTGCATAGGTGTATTTTGATATATTGTGTTATGTTATGTCATTTGTTAGACAAATGTCTGCATGTTCATGTAAATAAAGTACATACAAATATTTAGCATGTCATTCATTGGAATATTTTCACCTACATTTCAGGGAGTGTCTTGTATTGAAATGTACAGCAGTAAATAGGTAATGATCACTGAATGTGTACTGAATGTGTACTGGAAAGCAAAGATGAAGTAATAATGAAGGTAACTTGTCACCATGCACAGGGCAATATACTATCATGAAGCAATACAGGCGTACCTCGGTTTATGAATTTAATGCGTTCTGCGGGACTTTTCATATTGCAAAAATTTGTAAACCGAAATGCGGTTTCCCATAGGAATGCATTGAAAACCAATTAATCCATTCCGGAGGTCAGAAAAAAGAAAAAAAAAGTATTTTATCTGTTCAAAACTCTTTATAAAGTGCACTTCAAAGGCATAAATACTGTACAGGGACATGATTAAAAAAAATTCGTAAATGCATTGGAAAACAAGTAATCTGTTCCGGAGGTCAAAAAAAAGTAAAAAAAAGTCTTATCTGTTCAAAACTCTTTATAAAGTGCACTTTAAAGGCATAGTACTGTACAGGGACATGATTAAAAAAAATTCGTAAATGCATTGGAAAACCAAGTAATCTGTTCCAGAGGTCAGAAAAAAGTAAAAAAAAGTCTTATCTGTTCAAAACTCTTTATAAAGTGCACTTTAAAGGCATAGTACTGTACAGGGATATGATTAAAAAAAATTCATTGAAAACCAATTAATCCGTTCGTATTGTGAAAAAATTTGTAAACCGAGCCAATATTTTAAATGGATTTTAATACGTAAACCAAAAATGATGCTAACCGAGGCATTTGTAAACTGAGGTACACCTGTAATTGGAATTGTATGGTGAAAGTTATGGCACGTCAGATTTAGTGATACAGTAGCTACAGTATAGGCTTTGCAATCCCAATAATTCCACTAAAGGCAGTAACAAGATAAATATATTTAGAGGAGAACTGCACAAAGCAACGATAATATAACAGAGAAAACAGAGAAAGATTCCTGACTGGCTACTATTACTGTACTTGGTATATTTTTGTCTGTCTTCTACTGAATAAATAGAATTACTTTTATGGTTTAAAAAAAATAATGTAATCTGCTTCAAGACTGATATAATGGATTCCCTTAGGAGCATTTAACACACCATTGGCTTTTAGTTGTTTTAAATTCTGTTTGGTTTTTCAATTCAGACTGTCACACACCTGGGCAGTCCTTGCTGGCCATATGAAGTGAAGATGTTATTGTAGATGAAAGCTACTGTAAATGTCAAATCAATCAGCGGGAAAATATACTACTACATGAAAATTCTGCCCTGCAAAATGGGATGTGATGCATTTTGATTTTGCCACTATCTCATTTTGTCCCGTGAAGGCAGGAAGTGCAGGAACTGGAGACAGCGCTAGAGTGGTGACATGGAGCCAAGTGAGTGTTTGGGGACAGAGTGGGGTAGGAGAGAGAATGCAGAGAATGCATGAAGGTAAATAAAAGCCGCATTACCTGTCTTAACCCCTTGTCCCTAAACACTTACGTAGCACTACCCCGTTAGAAGTCGCTGAGTTTTGGTGCTCTCTAAAGCTCTGCACAGCCAGGCATTTTTCCACAGTTCGATTTCAGAGTCTCAATTAGATTTACGTCTGGACTTTGACTGCGCCATTCTAACACACTGGGGGAATCAATGGTGGAGAAGGATTTGGGGATTCTGGTAGATCACAAGCTTAATAATGGCATGCAATGCCAAGCTGTGGTTTCTAAAGTGAGGAAAATCCTTTCTTGTACTAAAAGAGGTATAGACTCCAGAGAGAGAGACATCATTTTACCCCTGTACAAATCATTAGTAAGACCTATCTGGAATATGCAGTTCAGTTTTGGGCACCAATTCACAAAAAGAACATTGGGGAACTGGAGAAAGTACAGAGAAGGGCAACCAAACTGATACGAGGCATGGAGGAGCTCAGCTATGAGGGAAAATTAGAGGAACTGAATTTATTCTCTCTTGAGAAGAGGAGATTAAGGGAGGATATGATCAACATGTATAAATACATCAGTGGTTCATATAGTGAACTCAGTGTAGAGGTATTCACTCTGAGGTCATCACAGAGGATAAGGGGGCACTCTTTACGTCTGGAGGAAAAGAAATTTAATCTCCAAACACGGAAAGGTTTCTTCACAGTGAGAGCTGTGAACATGCGGAATAGACCCCCTGAAGAGTTGGTTCTGGCCAGCTCAGTGGATTACTTTAAAAAAGGCCTGGATTCTTTCTTGGATACACAGAATATAACTGGATACTAACATTTATAGGTAAAGTTGATTCAAGGAATATCCGATTGCCTCTCGAGGGATTAGGAAGGATTTTTTTCCCCTGCAGGAGCAAATTGGATCATGCTTTGCTGGGTTTTTTTTTTTTGCCTTCCTCTGGATCAACTGTGGGTATAGGATTATACTGTAACTTTTTTTTTTTTTTTTTTTAATGGTTGAACTGGATGGACTTTTATCTTTTTTCAGCCAGACTAACTATGTATATGTAACATGAATATACTTTGATCTAAAGCATTCCATTGTACCTCTGGCTGTATGTTTAGGGTTGTTGTCCTGCTGGAAGGTGAACCTCCGCCCCAGTGGCAAGTCTTTTCTAGACTCTAACAGGTTTTATTCTAAGATTGTCCTGTATTTGGCTCCTTCTATCTTCCCATCAACTCTGACCAGCGTCCCTACCCTTGCTTAAGAAAGGTACCCCCAAAACATGATGCTGCCACCACTATGTTTCACAGTGGGTATGGTGTGTTCAGGGTGATGTGCAGTGCTAGTTTTCCGCCACACATAGCGTTTTGCTTTTAGGGATTGTTCACACTTGACTTCCTCCCAAATGCCCCTGTAGCATTAGACAGGCATTTTACAAGCATTAAAAACGCTCCCCAAACAACCTATGCACGATTTTGAGGCGTTTTACAAGCGTTAAAACTGCACCACAAATGCTTATAATGAATCTAATGGTATTAACGCCCCACAAATGCATCACAAACGCCTGCCAGGAGTTTGAGGAGTGTCACCATAGATTTGAATTGGAGGCGTTGAAAAGCTTCAACTCCTCCTGACTCAACATGAGACCTCAATTTTGATGTGAGGTGACGCTAACACTTCAGTGTGAACAGCACTGTGTGCTGCCATGTGTATCATTTTCATAGGTGTTTGAGGAGCGTTAAAAACACCCCTCAAATGCCTGCTTTCAACGCTAGTGTGAACTGAGCCTTAGGCCAAAAAGTAAAATTTTGGTCTCATCTGACCAGAGCACCTTTTTCCAAGTTTGCTGTGTCCCCCACATGGCTTCTCTCAAACTGCAAATGAGACTTCTTATGGCTTTCTTTCAACAATGACTTTCTTCTTGCCACTCTTCCATAAAGGCCAGATTTGTGGAGTGCACGACTAATAGTTGTCCTGTGGACAGATTCTCCCACCTAAATTGTGGATCTCTGCAGCTCCTCCAGAGTTACCAAGGGCCTCTTGGCTGCTTCTCTGATTAATACTCTCCTTGCCCGGCCTGTCAGTTTAGGTGGACGGCCATGTCTGGATAGGTTTGCAGTTGTGCCATAC